AAAAAAAAAAAAAAAAAACAGAGATTCGAGCTTACGGTACGGTGTGCGACGGAATTAACGATGAGTTCTTTCTCCTCTTCACTTCGAATTCACACCAGATTAGGGCAATGAGGTAACAGTGATATTTTAATATTTATATGGTATGTTATTGTAATTACATGGATGTTGAGGGGTATTTATGTCTTTTTCCATGTAAAATGAAGGGTAAAATGGTCAGGATAGGATGGGATAAAAAAATCCCGGGTCACCCTCGGACAGAATTTATCGCCAATTAAATGATAACGTTGTGGGCCCGCAGCCACATGTGTGTCACCTCATTTGTATCATGTCCCAATTCCTTTATGTAAACGTTGGATATTGAAGGATAATTTTACTTATCCCGTCCTGTCAAGCAAAGTAAACGACGCCTTAGTGGAGTTAAAATTGACAAATTTCCCGAGTTTGAACTCGGTTACTAGATTGTTTTGTCAACTCGGTCGAGCTCAAACTCGACTCCATTTGACTCGTTTTCTTGATCCCACGTAGGCTTAAAAATGAAAAGGAAATATACATTGCAAGTGTAAAAAATACTTGCATTAAATTCCTCTATTTTTCTCCTTTTTTGCATTTACGAACATTATTGAGCTGAGTCGAGCTTGGTTCATTAAGGCTCGAAAAGAGATTTTTTATATAATTTTTTATAGCTCGACTAGTTAAAGCTCGAGATCGGCTCGAGCACCCTAAGCTCGAGTTCGGATCGACTCGTTTACAAGCCTAGTCCTAACGAGCAAGTAATTGAGCTTGAGCTCGAGCTCTTAAAGTCCTAACGAGCCAATAATCGGGCTTAAGCTCGGCTTGTTGTTTAACATTAACGAACTGAACTTGAGCCTTGACGAGTCGACTTCGAGCTTTAACGAACTAAGTTATAGAAAATTATATAAAAGATAATTCTTTCGAGCAAGGCCGAACTTGAGTCGGTTACTAAACGAGCTCGATTTATCAACGAAGACGATGTCAGCTCACGAGCGATCCGTTTCGTTTAACAACTCTATATGTGACATTAATATTATTTGTATTATCATGCAATAAAAAACTGACAATGTGTCCAATCGTAAATACTCGGTGATGATTTGGATCAGATGCATATGGAAATTAGGTTGTAAATGCAAAAGAGGAGGCACAGACTGCTAGAATTCAAGATCCAATATTTTATGGGATTAGAGATGTTGCCCCAAGCAAGGTATAAATAAATTGGCATCGTTTTTCTTTCTTTTGTTCATTACTGCTTTATTTATTTTTACTAGTTGATGTATTGTGCAGGCAATGTTTTGTTTAAGCTTTAGATTACCAGAGGAAGCATGCATTGGTGGTAGCTGTTGATGACAAATTTGATGGTATTTCTCAAAGGGGAAGTTATTAAAAATTTTTTAGCATATCACAATTACAACAAATTTGATGGTATTTTCTGTTTAGTTGCATTGAATGATGCTTCTTTACAGATCTGGAATCGTGAAAAAAATTGTGAACACACCGGCTTCATGTTCTATTCTTAGAGTCCAAATTATGTGGATTTTGTATTGTGTTTAATTTTTTTTTTTTCTTTTGATATATGAAAACAAACTTAATAAGCAATTATTGTTGCATTTAGCCAAAATATAATAAAATTAAAAAGAATGAAAATTGAAAAAAAAAATATATAGAATGATAATAGAAAGAGTGAGGATCTCAACCATNAATATAGAGCTAAGTAGAGTTTATTGTGGTATATTTCATTGAAATTGAGATAGTGGAATTGGTAGATAACAAAGAAGTCGAGGATGTCTGAATTTGTGTATAATTATAAACTAGTACAACACATTACACAAATGCTTGTTAAAAAAAAATTATTCTTAAATTTTAAATTTAGTAGAAAAAATTGTTTTAAAATTTTAATATATTTTTAAAAAAATATATCTTATTATATATTTTAAAATGACACTTGTTACTTCTACATAAATTTACATTTGTTATATTATAATGATTTTTCTAACTTATACCATATAACTACTTTAAATATACATATATTAAGATTTAAGCCCTCTAGTCAACCAAATCACTTTTGTTTCGTAAGAGACTAAATCACAAGCAATACCAAACTTTCGAAATGCTCCATAAAATGTCTAAAAAAAGACTATCACAAGCAATGATGACTTTCGAAATGCTCCATTCAATGTCTAAAAATCAAATCTAACTCAACTAATTCAATCTCACTACCTTCAATATTATCAATATAGTTAAATAATATCACTCAATCATTCATTCTTACACATTACATCACCTTTAATTTACTATTCATCTATCAACACAATTTTAACTATCACCTCGCATCATCTCTCTCTTGCTTTTAAATCACACAAACTTTAATTATTTTATTTTAAATATTATTTTAATATAAACTCAAAATTCCATTAACAACTAACCATACTACCTTTTTTCAAAACTAACCATACAAAACCAATAAAATCCAAACAAAATCAAACAATCTTATATCCAAGCATAACTCGACATGAATAAAGCTCAAATGGGACACTGTTGGTATTATGCTCTTTTAAAAAGGTCTAGCATTGTATCTCTTCTGTTATTTTCCACTGCTGTAGAAGTTTTTCAATTTCATATGCTTGCTGAATCATTATACAGTAAAGTCCATTAAACTCATATCCAATTTACTTATTGGGTAATAATATTCAGGTCTTCTCGTCATTAGTCAAAAAAGGTTGAAAAATCACAACTATTCTATTATCATTCAAGGAATAAATGGAACACCAGAAACCTTACCCTGCTCATCAGTATATCAGACCCTTTGGGAGACGAAAATTCGAAAAAAATACTGAAACATAATACCTCAATTCTTTCGGAGCCAACATCAAAATTCAGAGGAATATGCACCATCCTCCGTCGCATAAAAGAACAATAAAAACAGGCGGCTCGGCCCAAAATAAACCAAAAATCGCTCCATATAAAGCTACACAAGAAAAAAGATATACACAAGGAATTGATAAAATCACAAACCTGTAATTTCTTTATCCATTTTCGCCCTCTTTCCACTCTGAACCTCCGGAACACCACCACCACTCACCCTCTGCCCATCATGCTGAAACGAGCAGTCGGGTCCATTCCTGCATCCCTTTGGGCTATTGAAATAAATGCATGGCTTCATTATCTTGGGCTTCATATGATGCCCAAACGGCACTGGGCCCACCCCACTCTCCTTCCTCTCCCCTCCATGCTGCTGAATCAGGCTCTTGTAATAGTTCATATCCCTCGGCACTGGTGGTTGTGGGCCTCGAGCCGGGCCCACATCAGGCACGGCCCGTGGAGGATAGTACGGGCCTAGTGTAGGGGGTCTCGCGATTGGGTTAAACGGGCCGTTTTGTGGGGGCCTCGGATGTTGAACATACTGCATGCTGCTTGTGGATGGCGCGTTACAATGTAAACTGGAAAGGGGTGTATTTTGTTCTGCGGCGGGTGGAAGGGCAATTTGGGAATTATTGCTTTGGCTGGTCATGAGGTGCTCGATCATTTTGGGGTCGCTGAGGATCTTGACGAGAAGGCTGTGGTCGATCAGATTAGTAGTGTTGTTATTATTATTAGTACCGTTTGAGATGGTGGCCGCTAGGGCCGACAGAATATCAGGCTCGACTCCATTGGTTGGAGGATTAACGACAGCGGCACTATTGCTACTGCCGCCAATCGCGAGATTGCTGTCGATTGTGGAGTCTTCATCCTCGACTGGGGTGATGGGGACCACAGGGGTGTGTCGATTATCGGTGGTTGGTTCTTGGATTCCCGGCAAAACAGAGGGGCTGATCGAGAGCGAAAAAATTGGATTTTTAAGGTACAAAAATGAAAATATAAAATAAATAAACAGAACCAGGAGAAAAAGTTAAAAAAAATAAAAAAATAAAAAATTGGAAGGATAGATATCGAACTTTGGAGGGATGGCCGATGGGCGTGGATAAATAGCTTCGAGCACTCTCATCTCGCGTTTGTTCTGAATTTCAATTTCTTCGCTCTCCTCACCGGCTACCACTTGCCAAGCAATATTAATGACAAACTGCAACAGATGAAAAATTAAATATATGTGCATCAGAAAAGAAAATACATCCATAGCGCATTTTTATGAAAATGTGAAAAGAATACCCGTTACAGAAAAACTTGAAAAAAAAAAGGATTTTTTTTACGGAATTTTCCATAAACTACATATAGGATTTTGTTATGGAGCCCTATTACGAATTTAACGATAATCTGTGTATTATACTGCCCACCAAATTTAACCATGTACTATATTATATATGGATGATGGATCAGCAATCAAACTGAATTATCAGGTTTCATAGAAAGACCGAACTTTTTACCAGCATACTCCGGAAGGTACACAAACACAACTTTTCCCTACTCTTGGAAAACTTTGATTACACAATTTCATAGAGAAAAATAATTATAACAATCAGAACAAGTCATACTCTAAGAGGGCATTTCCATTTGGTCAATGGTATTTGAGACAGCTTTGCCATCCAAGGATTAGCAGGCTGGATTCCCTCAAAGCCCGGGGGCAAATTGTCATCGGGGCCCACGATGCCACCTGTCTGTGTAGACCGGTATGGTTTTGCCTGTAGATGGTCTTGAGTTCCTATTCTAACTTGTGAAGGAGAGTCTTCTGAGAGAAACAGTCTTACCTATAAAACTTAAATGGATTAGCCTAACAGATAATAGCACCACAGGTCAAATCTCTTTACTCTGTAAGTCCAATATCTACAAACTGAAAAGATGCTGCAAAATATTCAATAACTGAATAATTGATCCCCTGTTTAGAGATATACTTTATTTGCAACCTGATAATAATTTACTTGACAAGTTAAGGTATCTACAAACTGCCACTAATATTTCTGCAATCCCACACATGTTAATCGAGCATAAGAAACTGGAAAACACAGACACCATTATCACTCCAATATATTTTGTGTGCAAGGAGGAAATCTGCTTTAGCCAGAACTGGCTTAAAAAGGAAAAGGCTAATCCAGCATAAACCTGAAGCATAACATCATTACAATTAATTCCCAAATGATTCCAAAGAAAAAAAGATATGATCCCCAAAGTAGTCATAAATGGAGTTGGCACACATAATAATCTTCATAAGGTTACATCATTCGTGTTGTTGATATTTTTACAGACCCAACGTCCTTCATTGTCCAAGAAGCAAAATGTTGTATAAAACTCAAACACTTGTCACCAAAAGAGAAAGAAAACAGAAAAAAAAAGAGTAAGATCAAAATGATTGTGACTAGTGACAGATCAATTTAACTTATTAGACATCAGATGAGAAACCATAATATTCACCAGCTACCACATTATTTTTCCGCACTAGTTTAGGTACAACACAAGACCATAATGTGATCTGAGAGTAAAGACAACTACAATAACCATGTAAACGGGCAGTTCATGTTGGGACATCATAACTTCTCTGGTTTTAAGGTCTGACAATTCCGAATATCATGGTGAAATAGAACAGATAACTAAACTTGAGTAACAGCTTTTAGGTCAAGACAAACTTAGCAATAACATATTGGTTTGCTGTCAAATTCCATTAGAGTTTTGCACAAAATATCAATAAATAAGAAAATCCAATATACAAAGAATTTTTCCAAATTTTTTAAATTATTTTACAGAACCATAAAGACTACCATACCTGGAAGAATAACTTACTTAAGAGTCCATGTATCGGTTTCTTTTACTCAAGAGACAATAATACAAAGTGTTCTACTGTTCTTAGCAAAAAAAAAGGGCCTCAACAGATACTTTTAACTTGTTCTACTGTTCTTGGCAAAAAAATGGCACAAATACTTTAAACTTAACTTGAAACATTGGTAACACTACTCAGATAACTAAAGTGCCTAAATGTAAGCTTTCTCCAAGTTTCTCGCGCTTGGTGAGTTGAAAGTTGTAGTTTCCTAACGTCTAGTATCTCATTCTCCTTTATTTTAGGTAGTGGACTATACTTGAGTGCATCTATGATGACCTCAAAATTCAAGCTTAGTTCAATTTTGTGTTGGGAAATAGACGAATTTTATCTCTTGGAAGGTTTTTGCACTTCAGATCAATTTTTAAGTATGTCTGGTCATCTGTTTGTGATTTTGTCTGATCAACTTTTAAGTATGTCTAGTCAACTGTTTTGATTTTGTGTGTGTAATGANAAAAAAAAAAAAAAAAAAAAAAAAACCACCTTAGTGAACTACAATATTATTATGTGTAGGTTCCGTATGGATGGTTAAGTTGATTAAATGTATGGAATTTTAACTAGTTATTATGAAATCATGCACACAGATTAGACTAGAGAAATGGAAATGAAAACCATCCATAACATATGGGGATTTAATCAACTTAGCTATACTGAACTTACACATAACATTGTAGTTCACTAGAGTATTAGCCACACTGAACTTACACATTGTAGTTCACTAGAGTATTTCCCATTGCATGCAAATCACACAAAATCACAAACAAATGATCAGACATACTTAAAAATTAATTGATGCAAAAACCTTCCAAGAAATATAAAATTCGTCTACTTCCCCAACACAAATCACTAATGATTTATTCTATTTCTTATTCAATCCACTCTTAAAGTTAATGATGCAATACATGGATTATGGATAAGGTTGGACATGAGAAAAATGAATATGGTTCCTTCATCTTGAACTAAACTTGAGGAAACTACAACTTTTAACACACCAAGTCAGAGATTTCTGACTTTTACATATCAATTAGCAAGCACGTTGAGAAAGATGAATTTCCAAGAAAACAATAACCTTTGCAACCAATTTTAAATTGTTATTTAATCATGATGAGGCAGCCTCTAGCAAGTTTTTCATCAATTCAAGAACAACAGAGGGAAAACAAGACATCATTATACATTGAATCACTGCACCAATTAATCAACCAACTTTAGACTCTGTTGGCAATTAAAAAGAACCCACAATAATATTAGTTTACCAAAAGTACAAATGAAGAAATAACATGCAGCTCTATGAAGATTCACCTGACAAAGATTAACATTTGAGGCCCAAGTAACCCTTTTAGATATCTCTGATCTTCCCATTTCAATCGATCAGATGAACCGTAACTCAATTCTCAAACAAACAGATTTTATATCTTATCAACACAATCGCTCGTAATCAAGTGGCCAATTTCCAGGAAAGGAATGGCCTGGAAATCCTAATTAGAAAACACAAAACCCTTATTTCTCTTTCCTTTTCTGTTATGTCCTTCACTTTCATTGCTGCTTATTTTTCCAAGTTAAAACCTTTCCAGGGTGCATTATATTGCAGAAATTGGATGCAAAGGCGATTTGTGAAATGCACGGTTATAACACGTACTGGTACGCGTGATGTAACCACCCATCATTTTTTTATTTATTCTTAAATATTGCAATGACAAAATGCCTACTAATCGACAATGGTGATGCTGTTAAATTTTATTAATTTATCTATTGGCTAGTCAACAAATCAAGAACTAATTAAATCTGGATACTTCCTCAATTCAGCAAATATATATCAATTTCTATTAAAATCAATTGCAGTAATCATTAGTGTACAAAATTGACACGTCAGCTTCGTGAATAAGATTTTAACAAAAAGCATTAACATATATAGTTCGTAACAATATTAAATTGTTTTCAAGAATAAACATATTCACACTATTTACTAGTTAAATTTTCAATTAAAAAACCTTCCTCACAGTTTATTGTACCAGACCTGAACACACGGCACATAAAATGATAGAGGGAACTAGAATATAGACTTCCTAGTGCAAAAACTAGATGTGTTTGGTTAATAATTAACTAACAACTGGAATTGTCATCCCTTCATGCAAAATAATAGTATATAATACAGCACGACATTTATGAGTTAGCTGTAAAAAGTTCCCATGCAGTAGTTGCCTAAAGGCAAGAATTCTTTCTTGAAATAACAAAGGAACCTAAGGTAAACATATAAATAGGCATTTACTTTCAACATTTTAGAAAAAGTTTCATGCAAGGTCAGCCAAATTCACTTCACATCATATAATGGAACAGATAACCATATAAATCGGTGGAGTATGTATGATAACTCAAGGAACAGAATCTGAAGAAAGTTTAAACTGATAAAAAAACATAAACACAAGAACCAAAAGATATTTTTCTATATATACCATATTAACATCGGCCTATTGGAAGTTCTAGAGATTACCAAAGACTAGACATTATCCCAAAAGTATAATCAAATGCAATCACACTACGCCACTTTGGTGTTTAATATCAATCAATGTTACTCAAGGGAGTCTTTAATTTTAGTGATCCTGAAAAGATTCTTAAGTCACTCTTCATAAATAAAGATGTAAAAAATGTGATACTTTCACCTAGTTTTATCGGCAAATAATTGACAATTTCATCTTATGGGGTCTAGCAAGTGTAGTCAATGGATATCTTAGACCAGACCTATCAATAAAAACTCATTGCTTTATTTACACCTGGTGAAGCCCTCCGTCGTCCGCCATAAATTCATCATACAAAAATAAAAAATTACCCAAGAAATGCAAATGCTCGTGATGAAAAGAGAACTGTATCTAACTGCCCATATCTCAAAACCAAAAGTGGACTTTCAAGTATTTATCAGATGCATTTAGGGGAAAAATGACAGGATCCGATAATCAATCTTCACTCATCTGTATTTTGGGCAATTTCATGCATTGAACATTCAAATTCAGTCTATTAGACAAAACAAAAAATTTGGGCTATTGTCAGTACATTCCAAAACGGAAGAGAAACAAAGGATAGTTGGGTATTTATCTGTCAGCAGATTGAAAATGCCAATTTTGGAACACAATGCACTTCCATTCCTCCATTCATTGGACTTATAAGAAATTAACATTTTACTCATCAATTAAGAAATTCAGAGTGTAGTTCTCAAGGGCATTCAACAGGAACAAGAAAATTACAGTAAGGATTTTTACAAAGATATATACCTGACAAAGATTAACATCAGTGGCCCAAGAAACCCTTTTTGATTTCCGCGATTCTTCCATGTTTAAACAAATCAAATAAACGTTGATTCGATTCTCAATTATATATGGATATATTCATACATATATCGTATAAAACTCAATCGCTTTTTTATAGCAATAAAAAATGGCCGATAATGTCTTTATATGAAAAACCCTAATGGCTGGTTATGTGTGGCCAATCGCATTTCCGATTGCAAACAGCCGGAGAAGAAGACGACGCTCTGTGAGATACAGAGTGACCTATTGTCCGAGAAAAAGAAAACCCTAGATAGGATTAGGAATCCTACTCCATTTATACTGATTATCAGTGGTGTATTTTTAAAGTCGGAGAAGAGATTTTGAAGAATCAGGTTGGGAAGAAAAAATATTTTTACTTAGTATTCAGGTGTGGTGACTGGTGAGTATATATTGTGGATTTATTTAAATAAAAATAAGATAATATAAAAACAGAATCAAACGGGAAAGTTAAGGTGGGTTTGTTTGTCTGTTCATATTCTACAAAAAATTCTATAAAGTCATTTTCTTATGAAGTCATCTACCACTTAGGATATGTTTGGTAAAACTAGTTGATAAGCTAGCTTATAGCTTATTTGTAATTTTTTAGCTTATAGTTTATAGCGTACGACTTATAGCTGAAAAGCTAGCTTATATGATAAAAGTGTTTGGTAAAATTAGTTGATAAGCTAACTGAAATAAAAAATTCAACTAGCTTATTTGAAAAACTACCTAAAGTAGCTTATGAGATAAGCTCGAGCTTTTTAGAAAAACTCGTCATACCAAAACGAGCTTATTTGAATACAGAGAGCTTATAAGCTAACCAAATAAGTTATAATAATTTGAAAAGCTACCTAAAGTAGCTTATGAGATAAGCTCGAGCTTTTTAGAAAAGCTCGTCCTACCAAACGAGGCTTATTTGAATACAGGGAGCTTATAAGCTAACCAAATAAGCTACAAACGAGGCTTATTTGAAAAGCTACCTAAAGTAGCTTATGAGATAAGCCCGACTTTTTATATCAAATCAACTTTGATTATTTTATTTTAAATATTATTTTGATATAAACTTAAAATCTCACTAGCAACTAACTATACTATATTTTTCAAAATTTATCCTAATTAATTAAAAAAAAAAACTCATTTCGAGCGGATATATTTGTGTCCAAGCACGCTCTGAATGTTACCATGATTTAATTTTTCTTTGGTTGAATTCATGCAAGGGTGTGCAATTACGGCTAAAATCTCATTTAGGGTATTATCCAGAGAGATTGAGTTGGAACTTGTCTTTCAGCTGTTATGGGCCTTATGGCCAACGGGCTTGATCATCTATTTGGGTCCCACCCGACGAGTCATGGGTTTATAAACCCATAAACCCGAACTGATTCATATGTTTGATAATTTCAATTCCGATTTATTATTCACCGGTTTTAAGTTAGGTCCGTCAAGTCAATCACCGTAGAAAAAAAAAATGACGACTCGTTGTTTCGGATCAAGTCCACCAACCTATTAGGGCGACCAAGATAAGAAAAAATGATTGTTGAACCAATTGATCCGCGAATCCAAAAATATTTTAAAAATATCGATATTTGAATTGCATTATTTAAAATCATCTGATATATAGCTAAAAGTTTGACATGTTTACCAGCTCCAAGTTGGACCCAGACCCATCGACCAAAAGTATTTGGCCGGCCCAAAATATAGGTCATAGAATTCAGAATAATTGCTAAAGGTTGAACCTGTCAAACCTTGTAATTCGGGATAAGAAGGCTTGAAGAGCTGCGTCGGAGGAACCCAAGCCAGCTCTCCCGGAGGGGGTCCGACCCGACGGCGCAAGGCCAACGAAGGAATCACCTACCTAAGACGATGAACCAGAGGCCATGAAGGCTTCTATGGACCGGCATGAGGCAAGAGACGGCGAGACGAGACGCCGGCCAAGAACCTGGCCAGAGAGATGGCTGCCCGGCGCTAGGCCCTCTGACCCTCCACAAGCAGCAGGTGGGCTGGGAAAGTGTCATGCCTCATCCGCGGCCAAAACTGAGAGGCAACGGACTGAGGGCTGCGAGCTATTGGCGGGAGAAGAGGGCTCACGACGAGAAGAAAAAACGAGGCTGGGGACAGTTGAAATTAAGGTAGAGAGAAATTGAGGACAGCGAGAAGACGACTCTGGCTCCTCTTTCAATTAAACTGGTAAGTTTACCTATGGCAACATTAATGCCCTCAAGCAAATTTTTTAACCTTGTAATTTTCAAAATAAACCATTCCACCTAGTAGTTTGTGTATATATTCTATACAAAATAGTTTTGGAAGTAATTGCTACTCGACTAAATAAAGATTTAAGCCCTCATACTAGTTAATCAAATCACTTTTGTTTGTAAAACACCCGATCACAAACAATGCTGACATTCGAAATGCTCCATTCAATGTCTAAAAAACATAACAAGAATTCACACTGCATGGCATTGAAAATCGACATGAGTAAAGCTCGAATGGGACTTGGTATTATGCTCTATTAAAAAGGTATAGCATTGTATCTCTTCTGTGAATTTCTACTCCTGTAGAAATTCTTAATTTCATAAGTTTTGCTGAATTATTATACAGTAAAGCCCATTAAACTCATATCCAATTTACTTCTTGGGTAAAGCCCATTAGTCAAAAAAAAGTTGAAAAATCACAACCATTCTATTAATCATTCAAGGAATAAATGGAACACCATAAACCTTACCCTGCTCATCATTATATCACACTTTGGGAGACAGAAATTTCGAAAAAAATATTGAAACATAATGCCTCAACCTCCTTCACAAGGTAAAAAACACCTTCCCCAGAATCAAAAATTCAGAGGAATATGCACCATCCTCCGTCGCATAAAAGAACAATAAAAAAACAGGCGGCCCGGCCCAAAATAAACCGAAAATCGCCTCCGAATAAAGATAAATAAGAAAAAGAAAAAGAAGAAAGATATACACAACGAACTCATAAAATCACAAACCTGTAATTTCCTTATCCAATTTCGCCCTCTTTCCACTCTGAACCTCCGGGACACCACCACCGCTTACCCTCTGTCCACCAAGTAAGTCGTGCTGAAACGAGCAGTCGGGCCCATTCCTGCATCCCTTTGGGCTATTGAAATAAATGCATGGCTTCATTATCTTGGGCTTCATATCTCTGCCGGGCCTCACCATATGCTCCTGATGCCCAAACGGGCCCAAGCCCACTCCACTCTCCTTCCTCTCCCCTCCATGCTGCTGAATCAGGCTCTTGTAATAGTTCACATCCCTCGGCATTGGCGGGTGTGGGCCTCGACCTGGGCCCACATCAGGCACGGCCCGCGGAGGATAGTACGGGCCTAGTGTAGGGAACGGGCCGTTTTGTGGGGGCCTCAGATTTTGAACATACTGCATGCTGCTTGTGGAAAGGGGTGTATTTTGTTCTGAGGGGGGTGGAAGGGCAATTTGGGAATTACTGCTTTGGCTGGTCATGAGGTGCTCGATCATTTTGGGGTCGCTGAGGATCTTGACGAGAAGGCTGTGGTCGATCAGATTAGTGTTGTTAATATTATTAGTACCGTTTGAGATGGCGGCTGCTAGGGCCGACAGAATATCGGGCTCGACTCCATTGGCTGGAGGATTAACAGCCACACTATTGCTACTGCTGCCGATTGATGAGTGTTGCTGTCGATGGCTGTCGATTGCGGAGTCTTCATCCTCGATTGGGGTGATGGGGACTACAGGGGTTTGTCGATTTTCGTTGGTTGGTTCTTGGATTCCCGGCAAAACAGAGGGGCTGTTCGAGAGCGAAAAGGTTGGATTTTTAAGGTACAAGAATGAAAATATGAAATAAATAAACAAAACCAGGAGAAAAAGTAAAACAAAAAAATAAAATAAAATTGAAAGGATAGGTATCGAACTTTGGAGGGATGGCCGACTGGCGTGGATAAATAGCTTCGAGCACTCTCATCTCACGTTTGTTCTGAATTTCAATTTCTTCGCTCTCCTCACCAGCTACCACTTGCCAAGCAATATTAATGCCAAACTGCATCAGAGGAAAATGAAATAGATGTGCATTAGAAAAGAAAATACATCAATAGCACATATTAGGAAAATGCGAAAAGAAAACTCCCTACAAATGAACTTTAAAAAACAAATTTTTGTACAGAATTTTCCGTGAACCACAGATACGACTTCCTTATGGAGCCCTCCTTATTACAAATTTAACAATAAACTGATATGTAATATACATGGATGATGAATCAGCAATCGAGCTCAATTATCAGGTTTCACAGAAAGACCGAACTTCGCCGGCATACTCAGGAAAGCACAACAAACACAACTTTTCCCTGCTCTTACTCATGGAAACCTGGATTAGACAATTTCATCGAGAAAAATAATTATAACACTCAGAAAAAGTCATACTCTAAGAGGGCATTTCCATTTGGTCAATGGTATTTGAGACATCTTTGTCATCCAAGGATTAGCAGGTTGGATTCCTTCAAAGCCCGGGGGCAAATTGTCATCGGGCCCCACGACGCCACCTGTCTGTGCTGACCGGAATGGCTTGGCCTGGAGATGGTCATGAGTTCCCATTCCAACTTGTGAAGGAGAGTCTTCTGAGAGAAACAGCCTTACCTATCAAACTTAAAAAATATTAGTCTAACAGATAACAGCACCACAGGTCAAATCTCTTTAGTCTGTAAGTCCGTGATCTAAAAACTGAAAAGATGGAGCAAAATATTCAATAGCTGGATAATTGATCCATTATTTAGAGATATACTTTATTTGCAACCTGATAATAAGATACTTGACAAGTTAGGATATCTACAAACTGCCACTAATATTTCTGCAATCCCACACAAGTTAACCGGGCATGAGAAACTGGAAAACACAGACACAATTATCACTCCAGTATATCTTCTGAACAAAGAGGAAATCTGCTTTAGCCAGAACTGGCTTAAAAAGAAAAGGCTAATTCAGCATAAACCTGATGCACAACATTATTACAATCGATTCACAAATGGTTCCAAGGAAAACAAAAACAATTCCCATGGTGATCATAAATGGAGTTAATGCAAATAACGATTTATACAAGATAACGCAATTCGTGTTGTTGATATGTTTACAGACCATCAACTGTAGAACATTTTCAATGTCCTTCATTTTCCAAGAAGCAGAATGTGGTTATATAAAACTCAAACACTTATCACTAGAAGAAAAAGGAATGTAGAAAAAGAGAGAGTGAGATCTAAATAATTGTGACTAGTGAGATATCAGTATATCATATTGAACATGTCAAATGGCAAAGATTAATACTTCAATAGTTATCATATCTTTACGCACTATTTTAGGTAAAACACAAGACCATAAATGTGATCTGAGAATAAAGACAACTACAATAACCATGTAATGGGCAGTTCATTTTGAGATAACAAAACTTCTCTGGTTTTAAGGTCTAACAACTCCGAATATCATCATGAAATAGAAAAGATAACTAACCTTGAGTAACAGTTTTTTAGTCAAGACAAGTTTAGCAAATAAAATTTCAATTTGCAGTCAGAATGTCAAATTCCATAAGAGTTTTGGAACAAAGATAAGTCAATCAATCAATCAACAAGCCGTTAAAATCTCACTAAGTGGGGTCGGCTATATGGATCATATGTCGCCATCATGCTCGATCAAAGCACACATCCTCATTCAAATTTAAATATTTTAAATCATTTTTTATTTTCTCCTTCCAAGTTTCCTTCCAAGTTTTCTTAGGTCTATCCCTCCCCCTTTAAATTCCTTTTAATTTGCATTCTTAATTCTAATGTCTCTACCCGGTGCCTCGAAGTCTCTCCTATGCACATGCCCAAACCAACTTAATCGTGTTTCTCTCATTTTCTCCTCTATGGGCGCTTCCCCAACTTCATTTCTAACACTTTCATTTCTAATCTTATCTAAAAAAATCCATAAAATATTATTTTAAAGATAAATACATAAGAAAATCCAACACATGAAGGTTTTTTCCAAATTTTCAAAAGTAATATACCACTTTAAGAAAGCCCTAGAGAACCATAACGACTACCATACCACCACAGCTATAGCAAAATGAAAGAACAGATTATATAAGAGTCTATTCATTGGTTTTATTACTCAAGAGACACAATAGTATGAGTGTTCTTGGCAAAAAAAGGGGTCTCAACAGATACTTTAAGCTTTACTTAAAATATTGGTAACACTGCTCAGAAAAGTAAAATGCCAAAATGTAACGTTCTCCCAGTTTTAGCACAAATTTTTTGTCGTCAGACTCTTCACTGTTTTGGTGGTTAACAGCTGATATACCTTCTTTTCAAATTTCAAATATATTCACTTTCAAATTTCACCATACTTAGGCCATCTCATGTACCTCAGACAACAACCCATTAACTTCCGAGTAAAAAATGAATGAATGGACTCTTTACACCAATGGAAGCGCTTATTCTAATTTCATAGACATAGCAGTTGTAGTGTCATATATGATTTTCATTTTCATTTCTCTGGTCTATTCATTGTGTCTCAATTCATAATAACCAATTAAAATTCCATTCAGATAACTTATCCTAAGGCTTCAAAAAGCATCACCAGAAATTTAAGATTTAATCAACTCAACCATACTGACCCTACACATAATATTGTTGTTCACCAGAGTACTTCGCATGACATGCAAATCACACAGTTGTAAATTGTAAACAGATGAACAGACAACCCAAAAAATTGATCAGAAGGGTAAAAATCTTCCAAGAGATAATTTCCAACACAAATCACCAATGATTTATTCAATTCCTTATTCAACCCATCTAAAAGTTAGGGATGCAATGCATGGATAACGTTGGAGAGAAGACAAATGAATCTGGTTTCTTTATCTTGAACTAAACTTGAACTTTCAAGTCATCAATAGATGCACTATAGCACAGTACATTACCTAATAACATTAAAAGGTGATGGATACTAACTACAAATTTCAACTGATCAATTTGATGATTTCTGACATTTTCCATAACATTTAACAAGCACTTTGAGAAAAATGAAATTCCAAGAATACAAAAACCTTTCAAGTCGCAACCAATTTTATCTTGTTATTTAATCACAATGAAGCAGCCTCTAGCTAGTTTGTCATCAATCGGACAACAACAGAGGGAACACAAACATCTTTATAGAACGATTAATTACACCAATTACTTAACGTACTTTAGACTCTGTCGGCAATTAAAAAGAACTCGACAATAATAGTAGTTTACCCAAAAGTTCAAATGAATGAATAACATGCAGCTTTATGAGGATTTACCTGACAAAGATTAACATTTGAGGCCCAAGTAACCCTTTTGGATATCTCTGAACTTCCCATTTTAATCAATTAGGTAAACCGTAACTCGATTCTCAAACAAATGGATTTTTGTCATATAAACTCAAATTTCTTCGTAATCAAGTTGCCGATTTTCAGGAAAGTAAAGGCCTGAAAATCCTAATTAGGAACCACAGAACCCTTATTCATCTTTCCTTTTCTGTAATGTCCTTCACTGCAACTTATCTTTCCAAGTAAAAATCTTTTTCCAAGGGTGCATTATATTCAGAAATTGGACGCAAAGGCCCTTTGTGAAAATGGACGCAAAGGTTGTGAAATTGTACAGGTATGCGTGATGCAATCACCCATTTCACTTTTATTTTTAAAATATTACTATAACAAAATGCCTACTGAACACTGGTGTCTCTATGCAATTTAATCAATTTAGGTAACGGTTGGTCAATAAACCAAGAATTAATTAAATCTAAACTCTGAAGATACTTTCTCAATTCAACAAATATAAATCAAATTCTATTGAAATCAGTTGCATAAATCATTAACGTATAACATGGACACATCATATTTTGTGAATAAGATTTTAAAAAAGCATTCTACATATATAGTTCGCAACAATATTAAATTGTTTTCAAGAATTAAACATATTCACTACATTTACTAGTTAAACAAGTTTCAATTCAAAAAACACAATAACACATCATTGTTTTTTTACACAGACCTGAACAAACAACACACATGATGATAGGGAACTAGAATATAGACTTCCTAGTGCAAAAACTAGATGTGTTTTGTTAATAATAAACTAACTGGAATTGTCATCCCTTGATGGAGAGTAAAAGTATATAATACAGAACGATATTTATGTTTAGCTGTGCGAAAAATTCATGCAGCAGTTGTCTTAAGGCAAGAAGTCTTTCGTGGAATAACAAAGGAAACTAAGGTAAACATGTAAAAAAAAAGCATCTACTTTCAACATTTAAAAAGTTTCTTGATTAAGGTCAGTCAAATTTACTTCACATCATACAATGGATCAGATAACAATATGATAGATGAATATGTATGATAACTCACAGAACATAACCTGAAGAAAGTTNGAATGTCTTTCTGAATTTACCAAATCAATATCGCATATTGGAAGTACTAGAGAACAAAAAAGACTAGACATTATCCCAAAGGTTTAACCAAATACAAAAACAGTAAGAGCTCAGGTATCTATTATATTGATGATTGATCAATGTTACTCAAGAGAATCTTTCATTTTAGTGATCTTGGAATATTCCGGATCACTCTTCAGATATGAAGATGCAAAAAATGCGATACTTTCGCCCAGTTTTAGCGGCAAATAATATTCATCTTACGGGTGCTACAAGGTTTCCTCAATGGACACCTCGAACCAGTCACTTGTCACCTATCAATAAGAACTTATTACTTTCTTTACACCTGGTGAAGCCCTCACTCATCCGCCATAAATCCATCATTACAAAACACTTAGTCAAGGCTACAAAAGCAAGGTTAAAGTTGTGACAACAGAACTGTATATGACTGCCCATATCTCAAAACCAAAACTGGACTTTCAAGTGATTATTAGATGCATTTAGGAGAAAAATAACAGGATTCAATATACCATTCTCCACTCATCTTTATAGTTTCACCATAATATTAATATGAATACAAGCTGTATTGTGGGCAATTCCACGTCAAATCACATTGCCGGAACTAACGGCTACATTCAAATTAACATTCTATTAGATATAACAACAATTTTGTGCTGTTAGCAAAATATTCCAAAAAAAAAAAGGATTGTTAGCTAGTTTTGTATTTATTTCAGCAGATTGAAAATGGCAATCTTGGAACAAAATGCACTTCCATTCCTCCATTCACATTCATTGGACTAATTGGGAATTAACATTTTTTTCTCATCCATTAAGAAACTCAGAATGTAGTTCTCAAGGGCAGTCAACAAGAACAAGAAAACTACAGTAAGGATTTTTACAAAGATATATACCTGACAAAGATTAACATCGGTGGCCCAACAAACCCTTTTTGATTTCCGCGATTCTCCCATATTTAAACAAATCAAATAAACGTTGATTCGATTCTCAAATATATATGGATGTATTCATACATATATCTTATAAAACTCAATCTGCTTTTTTATAGCGATAAAAAAAATGGCCGATGATGTCCAATACTCAGTCTCTAAATGAAAAACCCTAATGGCCGGTAATGTGTGCCCAATCGCATTTCCGATTGCAGACAGCCGGAGAAGACGACGACGCTCGGTGAGATACAGAGTGACCGATAGTCCGAGAAAAAGAAAACCCTAGATAGGATTAGGAACCCTACTCCATTTATTTATACTAATTATTACTGGACTTTGTAAATTTTTAGTCAGTGATTTTGAAAATCGGAAGAAAAAAATAAGTAATTTTTAGTCAGTGAATTATATGCGTCGTCATGTGCGAATTTCACTAATTAAAAAAATGATTAAATAAAAACAGGATCAAAGGGAAAGTGGATCTCGGCAGATGTGGCCAACGAGCCCGAATATCGATTCTGGGCCCCAACCCGTAGAGTTTTGAGGTTTATAAACCCATGAACCGGAATTTATCCGAACGTTTGACAATTCTTGTTTCGGTTTAAGCTCATCGGCTGGGAAAATTTTATAACTGCTCCCCATTAATAATGATATTCCACAACCGTTTCTATTCACACACATTACCAAAAATACTCCAAAATTGAGCATAATTGATCAAACACGAAAAATTAAAAGAAATAAAAAAATAAAAATTGAATATCTGAAAAAAAAAAAAAAATTG